TATTTGGTGTTGTGTGAAAGGAGCGACTCCTCCAGCGATTCCAGCAAAAGTAGACGATAAGATAGGTAAGGAAGAAAAGAAATTTACCAAAAAAGTTTCATCACTTTCAGTGAAAATATTCCTGCGCGTCGGAGAGCTTTCGCCAAAAGCTACATCCACAATTGATTCACCAATCGTAAAATGCATCTCCGGCTCACTTGCGATCTAAAAAATACCATACAGTAGTAGGTCACTTCACATTTTTGTTTCGACATAGTCTAGCATTTAATTGTCACGCTAAAAAAAATAGAATCCTTTTGCTAATGATCAGTCTTAGTGAGCTCGCTCCGCGAATCTCAAACATCACGGTATTTTCTGAATATTCACTTTCAGAAATTCAAACAATAAGAAATCGCAGAAAGCTAATACTTCGGATCTTCGATCAACAAGGAATCCAATTCAGCTAATTCTCTAAATCACCTAATTTTATGAATGCTAAAACGACTTGTTTAGAGATCCCAAAACTGAATTCCGAAACACGAGTAATGCTAAAAAGTTTTTTCTGTGCAATTTTTTCCTCGATTCCTTAAGATTCTCGCTTTTTCAAGTAAATACAGCTGCTTGCTTAGTTGCCAAAAAACGGACGAAAAAATACCTCTCCGGTGGCATATAACTGAGTTAGAATTTGCCCATATAAGTTTGTCTGCAAGGCATGCGACGAAAGAAATCCGAGGCAGTGAATGATGGATTCTTTCATTTTCAGCGTCAAGGTATCCTTTCGAGAAGATGCAATTTTGCCGAGCAAATCACAAAGTGAACAGAATTCTTCAGCTGACAGCTCCGCTTTTATCTGAAAAAGCCTTACTGAAATATCAAGAAAAAAGATCTTCATTTCGTTTGAAATGAAGTTAAGCTTGCAAAATACGGCTAGACGAGATAAATTCTTTTCATACTGTTTCAAAACAAGGGAAAATTGAAAACGAAATAGAAAGAGAGAGTGGTTTGGCAAGGTTGTTATTACCGAATCAGGCTTTCTCAGCAATTCGGCAAGCGAGCCACAAGTTGCTTCAAAAAGTTGATTTGGCTGCATCGAAAACATCGATTCAATCATTTTCACGAACTGACATCTGATCTTACGCATGTTCTCAATCACATCTGATGAGAGCTGCAGCACCGAATAGGCACAGAGCCATGGAGTCTGCACTGCTACATCCTGAAAGAGACGATATTCGTGGTTTAACTCAAGG